CTGGTGGACTTGCTATAATCTGCCTCTGTCGCCCCTTCACAATTTGCATTAATAATCGAAGGAAGCAGTAGCATTTTGTTGATTGACCGGATAAATGCTGTGTATTTACCATGATGCTGATATCTTCAATTCCTATTACTATTCTGTCATTCTCATCCTCTAAACTGGTCCAAGTGAACAGCCACTACTCTCCATGACTGTCGTTCGAGCCCCTAAACTTTCTATCTCCTCTCGTTATAATCCTATGACCTCGAACAGAAACATCCTTGAGAACCTGGTGTAGCTCTGGCAACCATGTTTTATACGATGCTGTAAAGGAGTTGAAGCAGGCTCAGCAGGTCGTATAAATAAGAACGGCGCTCTGACCTTCGCACTTGCCGTCAGTTTCCAGCTCCATGACCTCGAATGAAGGTGTTTTATCACTTTTCCTCGAAACAAGTTCACATCAAGGAACTCAAGCATAAGATGGCCTAATGAGCCGAAACCTATGTAGGTATTTGAATGGGAATCGGATTTGCCACTTCACCGTAGTTCGTAAATCCTTCCTTGTATCAGCCGGAACTCACTTACTGTTTACTATGGAGGTAACTGCACTATAAGATCAAAAATGGTGTTAGAACCAACAGATAAAATCTTGTGTTTTTTCGACGATATGTAAGCTCTCGGAAAGAATGGGAATAAGATGGAGTTGGAGGGGAAAGCGTGTGGGGAATCAGGAAGGGATGGGGTCGATGGTCTCGTCACTATCTTTCAGAGTTATGGAGCATCGCCAACACATTGGTGCAGCTCCTAATAACTTGCCCTAAAGTCGAGGTAGTATTGTAGCAGTCAGAACTTAGTGGGTTCCTTCCAGATGTTCACTTTATTACCTTTATATCTGCAGCTACTACGAGAATTCCGAAATTTCGAAAAAAAATATTTTTTAGTGGACATTATAGACCTACTTTTCTATAACTTTATGGGAGCAACGCAGTATTGCACAACTAATAGATGAAAATGAAGAATATTGATGCTGCGGATCAATTCTTCGGATAAGCCATGAATTTGACCTCCGCTTAAAAGTTATTTTGGGAAAACGCTTTTTTTGTCTGAATGATTTCAATCACAGCCGTAGATTACTCAAAAAGGCTCCAAATTCCAAATCACGTGAGAAATCTCAAGGGGACTCGTGGTGAACTTTGAGACTCCGTAAAGAGGCTGTTGTCACAATGGAAGACAGTCAGTTTGGAAAGCGATGACAACAAGAACAGCTGACTTCGAGACTGTACACAAAGACAGCTAGGTAGAGTAAGGGACATCTGACATCATTTAACAGCATCCAGAATGGAGGCTTGTTTTCATAGGGAGTATTTTATTACAAAGATCGATTCCGACCCATTACCCCTTCACATACAATTTTTGTAAATTGAGGTGCACTTTGCCACCGGCCGATCTTTATTTGTAGTGGGTATTGAGACGATTTTCTCGCAGGACCTGATTAAAAGTCGGCGAAGTTTTTTATTGGTTTTTTATGTGATTTTCCTTGTAATTGTATCACCTTCGATGTAATGTGGCATCACTTTTTTTGTCAGTTGCCGCTCAATCACACTCATGATTTCGTTGCAAGCCAGAGCAAGATTCCTCATAGGAGAGGAGTACCGAAGCGCGGCTGCTCGATTACGCAAATCGTCAATCGAATTTTCGTTGCCTCGACTGATGTGCGGCGAAATCGCGCTGATCGAAATTGAGCCTAATGCCAACCCTTTGCCCATTTGAGCTTCTCATACAAGCTAAGTTTCAGAGAGAAAAAGCTAAAAACGCAAAAAAAAAACATAGATACAGTGCCGATACGCCGTGCGTTCAACTCTCATTCGGAAATGCATACGCTTACGAATCCACTCCAAATCTAGATCGAGAAAGCTATTTGTTTTCAACTGTCTGTCAATTGAGAGGGGATCCTTAGAGGGCTGACCTCAGACTTCCTTGCTTTTCATTTTCAGCTTCACCATCTTTCCTCCGTCCTTTGAGGGCATTCGTAACAAATACGAATGTCATAAAACATGGAAAAATCAGTCATCATCAACTCCCATACATTACCCAATCAACCAAATCCAAATCAATCAATTAATGGTCTCCAGAGGTTGTTTTTACGTCAACTATTTCAGATTTGCTACCTGTATAATCCAGTAACTCCCATCTAAAGGGTTGCTTCCCAGATTATCAATGTCCGCTCGCTCAACTTGTATACAGACAAGGGCCATTATCGCTTGAGTATGCCCATTCTGCCTAACACTTGTTAAGACTCGCAGTGAGGGCATTTCACCTCGCCCATATGTTACGGTATCAACTTCTTTCCACGTTCTGCCTCCTTCTCCTCCTTCTTCGGTTTCTTCTATGATTGAAGTTTTCTGCAAATAAAGTTTTTCTCCTCATTGTCTTGTATTGCAATTCATCAGAATTTCTGTGCATGTTTCCCAAATTGTATTTAGTCATCATTTATAAACCGGATTTCTTCCAACGATGGTAAACATCAATGTGACTTTGTCGATTATTCGTTTCACGAGTTTTCTAAGAAATCGAGAAGGGCCTTTTTTCTCGTCAGCCGACTGCTCAATTCTGTCTTCTGTACAATTCTTATCTTCGACTTTTTCGTTGTTACGCTTGCCCGTTTATTCACTGTCTGATCAAGACCAATTACATTTAGTTTCAGCTGACTCAACCTGGGTAAAACCATTTTTTACTTGGACAATCACAAGACCACCACGGTAATTGCCAGCAAATCATAATTGATTTGAACCCCTTTGGAGGGCAATGGATAATTACATATGTGTGGATCCGCTCACGAACAAACCTATTGACTGCTGGAAAAAATACCTACGACAAGGACGAGTCTCAGAACCCGCTAAAACCCTCAGGTAAGTATAACCAAATCATGAGGAAGGTGTTCACAGAGCACTCAGTGGATACTCACAAGGTACAAGTGAATCCTCAAGTGTAGAGGGATTATCAAGTTACATATGTAGTCGATTTCAGGCTCGATACCCCTGTCTTCGACAACAAAATCAGATTCGTCTGCATTTCTGATACCCACGAAAGGTTAGACGAGGTCAGTGAATAATTTTGAAGACATCATTCACGATTGTTCTGCCGATTATATTTGGATACTAAAGTCACTTGGCGTTGTTCAATATTTCTGGGGTGCACCCCGCATTCTACTGCCGTTCAGGATCGTGGTGGCATATTGAATGCATAATTGGTCGATACAATTACTTCTCATTAGTAAAATGCTAGCAAATGCACAAGTTAGTATATTTATCCTCTCAGATGAGTCTGTACCAAATGATCGACCCCAGAGGGATGTCAAGATTGATTGGCTTAAGCTGATAGTGATCCGGGATTCGGTCTTCGGCCCATGAGCGTATTATAGTGCTTCACATGCCCCTACTTCATCTCCCCGTTTATCCTCACGTACTAGGAAGAAATTCGAACTCTTAAAGAAGCGATATTTGGCGTTTTCTCGACAGAAGCTGTTTAAAAATGGCGCAATAGTGATTCGAAAACAGATTTCCGCTCATCACTAGGCGTCATAAGCGCATTAGGGCCATTCATTATTGACCACTCTGTTGCTGAGAAGCCTTTAGGTAGCTCCAGAAGCTATCTTAGATAGTGCTCAATGGTGGAAAGTGCTCTTGACATCATTAAGTAGGCTTAGGACGTAAATTGGAACGAACTTTTGTAGACCACAGTACTCATTACCGAGTTCTGAAGTAACTTGAGGACGACGTTGCCCGTAGATCAGGAGTTAGGCTAAGCTTAACCACCCACCAATAAGCGATGGGTCCGAAGTGTCACCATCACCTGTTCAATAGAGCCACCAAGGTTACAGCTTCATGAGGTTATAGCACATAGTGGGTTAGCCTCAGGGGAGATGGGAGACTCTCTCTGAAGTAACAGACTAGCCCAATACACCAGCAGCAAAGACTATTCAAAGTGTGGGTGCAGTTCTATCGATCATGAAAGACAACGCTCGTCTTCGTTTCCCAAGCGGTTCTGATCATTCGGTCCGCCTACAAAAGTCGTTCAGGAAAGTCGTAAACCAGTTTGACGACGTCCTAGAACTACTAAGACTAACTTGGTGAATCACACAGATTTTAACAGATGATTAATTGGGTGGAAGCGATATAGAGTCAAGGAGTGCATAGTCGCACGCATCACCATCGCAGCTAGAATCGATACACGCCCAGGACTACCATGCCTTTCATCCCTTCGCGGCCAATTGGTACCAGACTCATCTAATAGAAAAAAGGCCTTGATTTGTACATCGACTGGCTACCGCAACTCGTTGTATAGGCCAGACACGCACTGCACGCACCGCCGATGCTGAGGATTTGATTATAGATGCTTTTCAATGAAATAAGTTAAGCATTTACGAATACATCTGAAAATCAAGAATTTATGCAACATTTCCTATGTAAATGATATTTCCTTCAGTTTTTACCGATTATACCCGATGGCGATGTGCTGATTCATGCGGGAGACTTCACTAATTACGGCGATCTCGGAGAAGTCATCAAATTCAACGCTGAAATCGGTGGGTTCCGTTCACAGATACTGGAGGGAAAGATGTGGACTGGATTATGGAACAGATGTTCGAGCTATAAAGATAAATGGTCCATGTCTGTTGTTCGAGCTATAAAGATAATTGGTCCATGTCGGTTTTCAAGTAAAAATCGGTCCCTGGGATACATGGCACAAAGTTTAAGCTATGGAGATCCGTTAAAATCAGAATCGTTGTGACCTTCGAATTCCTACCACAGTCAACAGTTTTTTATGTTGCCATTTCGTTTAGGCACGTCTACGTAGTGATTGTAGGCACTTTGACGATCCACTTGACGTTTGACATTTCTTTAGGGCAATTTTTTAATGCCAGCTGAGTATCTTGTTTGTCTTGAATGAGAACGTTTCACTTGTTCTGATAGTCATGGGACATAGATGTCTAGTAGTTCAGGGCCAAGTTCTAGTGAGTACACCTATGAGTCCGTTGTCTGAAAAAAGAGAAGAGTAACGAGAAAACAAAGAATCAAAGTACGGTTGCTACTCTGAAGCTTTATAATCACCCATTCAAATGTGTTAGCAGTGGTCAGGCAGAGTCGTAAACACGGCTTATTCCAATCAGCGTTAACAAACCGATAATATCCGACTCATACGTTCGAATCCCATATAGTGTTGCGGATCTACTAGAAGGGAATCACCTGATGACACTCACTTCTGATAGACCATTTGAATGAATAAAAAGTGTTCTGTTGCATCACATAAATATTGATTCAAACAATATCGGCTGGTAACAATTTTAGGTAAACTTCCTCACAAATACAAGATTGTGATCGCTGGCAATCATGAACTCGGTTTCGAAGATGGGGAAGAGATGAATGAAAGACAATTGGCTGGTCTGAATATGCTCGGAATCAACAAGGCATATGAATTGCTTAGCAATTGCACGTACCTCTGTGATCGTTCAGTTGAGGTACGGTACACTTGGAACGCAGTACGGTAATTAACTTTAGCAAGATTTCAGGTGTACGGTATAAAAATCTACGGAACCCCATGGCATTCAATGCCCGGATATTCCTTTTATCGTCCACGAGGACAAAAAATCCTTCACAAATGGAATCAGATTCCGCCTAAAACTGACGTACTCATCACTCATACACCGCCTCTTGGTACGAACTATCGTTAAGAAATTAGTCCCTATTCTTACCAATATCATACATTATTAAACGAAATCATTTTTTGTTTTCAAGGTCATGGCGATTTCAATGCATGGAACAAAATGGACGGGATTCTGGCCGGTGACGTCGAATTATTAAATACTGTCGAACAACGTGTGGTACCCAAGTACCACGTCTTTGGCCATGTTCACCAGGTAGACCTTCATCTTTACCGAAGGGCGATAGTTTCCCGATCAGGCCAAATGGTAGGGGCGGAAAACGGGGGGTTTTTTGTTTTTCTGCTATGTACCTACATGTGTCCAAACACGTCCCCTCGAATTGCGATTTGGGCCACACCCTCTCACCATTTCCTAAACGTCATGTATCATCCTTTATAATCTACTATCATTCATGCAACGTCTGTGGGTAAGAACCTAATTCATAAAGTTGCCGACCAGTTGTTAGAACTGCTCTAAAAATTCCGGTTTTGGCCACGCCCTTATGCGATTTTCTCGGACATTTATTTTCAAACATGTGTTGCCTTGACAAAACTTCGCACTATTCAGATGCACGGCGCAACTACCAACGGCATTACGACCTTCATTAACGCATCGCTTTGTGATCATAAACTTCGTAGCGCCTATGATCCTATCATTTTTGATCTTCCTCTTCCATGCGGTGTATCTAAATAAGTGTATGCGTGTTGATTTTGTAAAAAGACCATCATTGTTGTTATGTAAAAAGGCCTTAGTAATGGAATATTATGCAACCAAACTAAGTATAATATTTCCGTAAGAAATTAATTGCAAATAAAGATTAACACTTTTACAATTTCGAGAGGATTGGTAACGATAATTTGCTTTTGGATAGCTAGTCTAAACATTTTCGAAATCTTAGAAAGAGCAAATTCAGAGCTATTAAACGAGGCGCAACACCACCCAACGGCCGTAAAAAGTTCGATATCTACCTCTTATTCCGCTAGCCCTGACTTGTCACTGGCGGGAGGATTTGTTCAACACATAAAGAAAAGGACATGGAGCTGAGTTAGGCTACAATTGTTTCTGTAAGGTAAAGTGTTGGAAGCCTGATGCCCATCCAACGAGCCATGAAGGTCATTTTTACGGTCTCCGAAGTTTTCTGCATGCATTTTGATGAACTTTATCCCTTTTGGCCTAAATGGTGTATTGGTAGGAAGCGCTAACAAAACTCCTCTCTTCAGTGAGTTGAGTTGCGAATTCCCTTTCAATACGATCATTATCTGGCCTGAGAGTTAGTTTCTTTTTTAGACGCTCGCTAACTCACAGATTATGTCAGGTAGATATTTTCGAGTTTTTTTTTCTCAAACTTATCTGCCCAGATCCTGAGACAGTAGTGTACTTGGCTTAATCTACTGAACGTAATTACTTCCATGCCTCACAACATGAAACGGTGGAGGTCAGTCCGTCGATGAGTGAGAAGAAAAAACGAAATGTGAAAAAGGATAAAGGAAAGTCTTTCGGCGTTAATCAATCCCGTCGGAGGGATGCGCCCTTGCACTCGACTGCATTCAGTATCGTAGCGGCGATTTGAATGAGTAGGTGACGTATGCAATGATTTGCGATGACTAGCCGATGTCCAAGTTTGTGTTTTTATCCTCTCAGACGAGTCCGGTGTCGAATATCCGACCGCAGAGTGAGGGAAATTATGATTGGCCTAAGCGTATATCGATACGGGATGCGAACTCATGACCATGCGCGTGTGAAGTGCACCACTTGCCACTATACAACCTTAACCCAGTATGAAACATGAATTAAATAACTCTACTGATAACAAGATGATGTGGTTGAGAGATTAGTGAAATTCGGGTCATGTTCATTTCACAGTCTGTCTCTTACATAGTTGGTAGGTACTGAGCCTTTCACATTTTCAGCAGGTTTCTTTACGTTGTTCAAAACTGGCTCCGAGGGGTAGCCATGAAAAACGCCTGCAATTCTGCAAACTGCTCGAGTGAGAGTTTCAGAATTCATGGGTTGTACTCAAAGCAAGAAAAGCTCGAAAATTTCTTCAGATAAGACAGTGCCCAGAAAGTACAGTGTAAGTTGGTTTACATATCCATATCGGGTCAGTCTCACTTTATTCAATGTGCTCCTTCCCTGATACCCTTTCGTTTGCAGACTTCTGTTTCTAGCAAACCGAAAAGTGTAGAGTAAGTAAATTTCGATATTGTAATCCTTCTGAAATTTAAAAACAAAATCATTTGGACTGAAATGGCACGACCGTATTAACAGCTAGCAGGGCAATGAGTAGGAAGAAAGCGTTAGCTAAGAAAAAGATATAGCAGAGGAGTAGAGGAACTCACCAGAGATTTAGTGAGTGAAAGAGCGTTGAAAAAAGGAGTTAAAAGCTCAAGAGCAAAAAAAAACCCGGAGTCAACCTGCTGCCCATCTTTCCGTCCCAATAACGCCTTTAGCGGTGATCAACCTTTTGCGATGCGCCCTGCATTCGACTTCAGGACGGTCGTGGCGGATGCGTATATGTGATTTATACAGTAACTTGCAATGGCCAGCAGATATACATGTCTGTGCTTTTCTCATCCCAGACTGGTCTATTACCAACAGATCGAATTCGGAGGAGTGGAAAGCTTTGTTAGTCTACGTGGGTAGGGTGGGGGGANACTGGCTACCGCAACTCGTTGTATAGGCCAGACACGCATTGCACGCACCGCCGATGCTGAGGATTTGATTATAGATGCTTTTCAATAAAATAAGTCAAGCGATTTAAAAATTAATCTGAAAATCAAGAACTCGTGCAACATTTCCTATGTAAATGATCTTTCCTTCAGTTTTTACCGATTATACCCGATGGCGATG